TTAATGGTGATCAGGGGTTCTGGTTCTGGTTCTGGTCGGCGACAAACTAGTTTCGCCGTCGTATTTCTTTATTTATTTTAATATTGCCAGCTTAGTTAGCGAGTTTTATCTCTGTGAGTGTGTTTGAGTTTGCTATTTGATTTCGCCTTTAACGATTAAGTGAAGATTCAAGGTCAAGGTCGGCCCGACGCCGTGTTAGCCAACAGATCAATGATAAATCACGCCTAGAATACGCTCATGGCAAAAACTCTGTGGCGGGAGCTTTTATGTTTATGCTGATTACGTGTTTTTAGTGGGTGAGTGTTCCCTACACAGCAAGAAAATATCTATAAAATAGTAAAGATTTCTTTACATTAAAAATAAATTAATTAACTCCAAATAAAGTTAACAAGTCTACAAAGCGCATCTTTTAAGACACAATTTAATTAATCACAAATAAATATCAAAGTGTTTGTAATTGTATTTTAATTTTAATAAATATAAAGATAGCATACTAATTTATTAATTTATTTAATTGACATATATAATAAAGATAATGAAAAACCTGTTCAATTTTATAAGCAACAAAAAAAGCGTGTAATCTAATCGCTTTTTATATGTATGTCTGAAAAGGTCTCAGAAACGAACTTTCGATTAAGAATCATTTAAGTGCCTGCTGTCTGGGGTAATTCCAGGAATACACTTGCATTTTGTTGACTAACTAAACGTGATTAAAACGAGTTTTGATATCGGCGGAGAAGGTACTATATACTATATATACTATACTACTTCGAATCCCGTTTCGCAACTGAATCAACTTGGCTGTGTATTATCGCTTGATTATAATTATCACAGAGCCAGGCGGTGGTATTAGCATTTCGCATTTCGATTGTATTCAAAAACTATTTGCGCCTGGAAAAAAAGAGAATAAAAACAAAAAAACACCTGAACATTACATTACTTTGGTTTGAAGACGAGGTGTTGTACCTGTACGTGATGGGAGTCACTAATTGTTGCCGGGAATCGAAGGAATTAACACATTTGCATTTGGCCAAAAAAAATCTTCCCTGAATTTGGGTAACTGCTTGGCTTGTTTGGTTGTTTTCAAATGCTAATTGCAGACCAACGATGTAAACAAGTCGTAAAAAAGCAAAAGAAATGGATCGTTAAAGTAGTTTAATTAAAGGTTTATATAGTTACTTGTTTGTTACAGAAAATTTGATATTTTTAATACTTTTAGGGGTTTATCTAAAGTTGTTATTTAATAAAAGTCAACCTGAAGGCCTATACAAATAGAAGACAATTTAGTTCCCAAAGAAGTTTTAAATTAAAACATTTAAATCAATTGTTTTTTCATACAAAACAGGAATACAATTTTACAAAGATACAAAGAAAAGTTATATTAATTAAGATCCTTTATCAATTTGCTAAACCAACGAAAGAAAATCTAAATTTGGTAATGATTAAGCGCCTATAAAACTCCTATAAACATACTCTAATAAATTATTAGAACAAATTATATATAAAAAATATCTTTCTTAATTTCTGGATTAAGAACTTGTTTTTTAACATCTAAACAATAAATCATATTTATATTCATATTTATAAATAGTAGTAAATATTAATATTTCTCATGTTTAATTGCCCTTCCAACTATTTATAAATTTTGTGACTTCGTTTCGTTTACTCAATCAATGCAGTTTTGCAGAATAGGAACACTGACGTTGATAAGCCGCAAATCACAAACAAATATACATATTTAGTATACTATATACAATATATAATAATATATAGTATTTGTGCATAGTTGGCATCGATTTAATTGAGCTGCGGAAAATTAGAGCGATCGGTTCACGCAACATTAGCCGGGGATCAATCAAGTATTAGATAATCTCCGATGATGATGACATTGGCGCTAGTGCAACATTATGCTATATTGAGACTTGGATTGACTAATCAGCAAATGCAGCTGAAAGTAGATTTTGGAACTGGAACTGGCTCTGGTTTTATACTAGATCTGGTTCCATATACACATATTAACTAACCAGTTGGTGATAGTAGTCGCGTCGCTTGACTATGTTTCACTCTAAAGTAAATTTTTATATTTTTGATTTCAAATGTTTAAATATTTCGAATTTATAATATATTGTATATAAACTGGGGGAAAATACACTTTGCAAAAGGTTTCGACTTTGATTTTATACAAATTTAAATTTAAATTCTATGTAATACTTAAGGATATTGAAAATTATGGAATATTTCTTTAAAAATTGCTAAATCATTTCAATCAATTTCTAGGAAAATATTAATGCATTCTCTTTAGATTTTCAAAGCAAAAAATATTTAAATTTTCATTGTATTCATGGTAGAGAATTTTTTTATTTTTATAATAATTTTCTAAAATTGTTATCAAAAAATTGAAACGTTTATGAACCATTTTCAGCAATCATATTTTATAATAATACGCTCTCGTAACCATAGTTATTATTATAATAAGTGAAGTATAATCAAAATTAGAAAAAAACCTGTTTATAAACAAACCAATTATTACAATTAGTAGAACGTTTCGACTAAGCTTTGTATATAGGGTAAAACTAGGTGAAATGTTTCAGCAAAACTTCAGTCAGTGGTTCTTGGAAAATCGTTTAATAATTTTAAATTAATTAAATCATCAAAAAGATATTCTTTTATTCACTTTTGGGTGAATTGGAATTTAGGAAAGTTGTTAAGTAGACCTTTTAACCTGTATCTTTGTTTTAATTCTCTTAAACTTAAGCATATCTCTTTAAGTTTATTATCTTATTTTGTTGCAAAACTTTTTGGCACACCAAACTTTACAGATTATATAGATTATATTATATATGTATATATATGTATATATATATATATATTGCCTCACAACTTTAAGATTCTTTTGTCTTGGCCTCCGAGATTTTCCAATTCTGATACAAGCTATAGGGCATAGGTCAGAAAATATTCTCAGCAGTTACGTATTCACGTTGATCGATGTCTTGTTAAAAGTTAAAAAAATAAACACTAACTCAAGAGTCTGGCTTTGAATACCAAGTAAAATCTAAATAATGAAGATGTTTACTAGAATATGATTTGCAACTGGCTTCCATGGGCCTTAAACATAACTAATCATAAGTCATAGCACCAAACAATAAAAAGTGAGGCCGCTCATCTTCCATCTAAACAGTGTAAATGTCATAAAGAACGTTAAGCATCTCAACCTTGGCAAATTTTCAGCTCCTGAACAACTTTATGAGGGGTCTAAACCTTCAGGGGAAAATGTCAAAGATACATCTCAAGACTTCAACAATTGTTAGCTAAAATCAATAACATATTAATCAGTTTTTAAGGATAATTATAGTAAACACTTACTTAGTAACTAACAGTTAGTCATACATATTTGCTACTTTAACTCGACCGATGAACTGTCACTATAAGTGCTGCTGATCGGCTGACTCAGAAAATCGGGTAAATAATTCAATTTAAGTGGCAAAACACTCTTTTTAAAATAATTATCATTAAGTGGCTCTTCAGCCATCACCGGGAAGCGTTTTTCTGCCAAGGCGAGCCGCTAAACAAAATGAATTAGCAATGCGACAAGCGTAACAAAGTCGGGCAGACAGGGGTTAATTATGTTGGGGAAGCGAAATCCTATGTGATTAACACCTGTTTCACTTTTCCGCCGGCAAAATGGGAGAGAGAAAATATCACAGATTGTCATAGTTAGAGAGAAAATATCACAGATTGTCATAGTTAGTAAGCTAGATTTCCATAATTATGGCAACGGGATAAAGATCTTACTTATTCGGATAGAAATTATTTCTAGAGTTTTGCAAATAATAGTATTTAAAAGCGTTTGTCGGGAAATTGTTTTCAAAAATGTTGCTAGGTTAGGCAAAATAAATCGATACATTGATACTGTACTGTATTGTACTGTAATTTAAAGAGGGAGTAAATATAAATAATTATATATAGGTATTTTTGATCAGCATTAAAAGTAACCTCCCGCAGAAAAAAGATGCTTTTAAAAATATTAATTTTTTTAAAAAAAGGGGAAAGGGGTTACATCGTTAAAATTTTCAAAAATTTTAAAAAAATTTAATTTTTAAATTTGAGTAAATTAAGTATGCAGATTTTTAACTACATGAAAACTAATTGAAATTAATGCATTTTTGGCTTAGCTAAGGATTTTGTAATCGTTGAAACCCAATATAAATAAAAAAAAAATTACGTATACGTAATATCACCCCTAACCAACATGGAATATCACGTATACGTACCATTGTCATTCAGAATCCGGATAATCTTTCCATTAATTATCTTAAAATAGTCTTACTTTCAGTGATTTAATTTCTAACAGGGATATAGTTTTATTAATACCGTTTAAGGAGATTATACTTTTATTTATAATTTTTACACCCTTGAAGACGATTATAGTTTCAGTCAGAGGTTTACAAATTAGTGATGGAATCATTTTCGACCCTATAAATCATATATATTCTTGCTCAGCATTAAAAGGGGAATTTTTCTAGCTATTTCGGGCAGAGAATAAAATATTTAAAAATTTTTTCAATTTTTTTAAAAAAAGGAAAGGGGTTAAATCGTTAAAATTTCAAAAATGGACAAAAAATTCACATTTTAAATGGAGTATGCAGATTTATTAACCTAACTTTTTTATATTAAAAATATGTTATATATATATTTCTATCACTTTTCCATTGTATTGACGTTGAAACGATTAGTTTATAGTTTTTAATATAAACAAATGAAATATATAAAAGTATGCAATATTTATGATATAAAATTGATCGCAATATATTAATCTATATATAATATTAGAATTTCTCTCTCAATAAACATGCATCCCTAGCTCTTAGTATTAATTATTACAAAAATTGACATTTCAGAATTTAAAACTCCCAAAAAAAATATGTGAGCTTCTCACACATAAATATTGTTAAAAAAAATTATTAAAAAAATAAACTATACTTCTTATTCCCGCATTTTAGCGGACTAAGATGCCCGAGTGATCGTGCCATCTCAGCCAGCGATCAGAACAGATTTTGTGGACAGGAAGGAGGAGCAGGAGGAGCAGGAGCAGGAGCAGGAGGAGCAGGTGCACCGAAAGCCATGGGAATGCATGTGAATGGACGCGAGGTGCGGGAACTGCTGCGCAAGGATCTGATAGTTCGATGGCGCCAAAAGGTGCTCAGCCTGATCCTGCTGGCCTGGCCAGTGATGATCTTCATGCTGCTCTATCTCATCCGGCTGAAGTATGGCTCGGAGGAGGTGCAAGCCTGCCAGTATCCAACACGATTGCTGCCCACCAAAAACCAGGTGGTGCCCGCTGCCTTCTCCTACATTTGCAGCATTGAGAATCGATGCCAGAAGGCGCAACCCTACGAGGAGTACTCCCGATGGAAGGAGGCACCGTAAGTGATGATTTACAACCTTCTTTCTTTATAAAATAATAAAATTTAATATAATTTTCTTGATTTTCCTTAGACTCCACTCTGTGATCGATGTGGTTAATGCCTTTGTGACCGACGAGCGACTACTCAAAGCTGTGGTGGAGTTGGCCGACAAGGCCAACTTTGTCTCGGCCATAACCACGCTGATAACCAGCGATCGACTGGACATCATAAGAAGTAAGTAAAGTCTCTAAATGATCTCTTTAAATAGTTAATCTCTATCCTTGTCTCCTTACCAGGTAACATTAGTGAAATTATTTCCCTGGTGCCGGAAATAGAGCGACGCATGAACTATAGTTTCGATATCAAGCACTTGTTTTCAAGTAAGTTAAAGTTAATCATTACTCCTTTGAATCTTTCAATAACTTAAACTTATTTAAAACAGATCGCGAGACCTTTGTTAAGCTGGGCGTTCTGCTGTGCGGTCATCCCTTTCCTAACACGGATACCATTCCCTTAATTAATGAGATTTTGGAATCGGAGGATTTTAGTGAAGCTGATAAAGATGTGGAACTTGAGGCCATGCCAAGTGAGTAGTAATAAGAAGAAGGCCAAGAGGAGGTCATGTCCTTAATTTTGATTCTAAATGCAAATCAAAAAACCTTGCTCTGCCTCCAGGCCGCCATCGTAGTCGTCGTCATGTAACCGATAATAATCTTCCCCTGGACTGGAGGCCAAGTGAGCATCAGAGTTCTTTATAAACTAACAATTTAGATCTTTATTTATTTATTTATATAAAGTTAACAAATAGTTTTAAACTAAAAGCTAACTAAGGGCTAAGATCCCTAGGCCTTTATCTCGCTGGTTGTGATGGATCATTCAGATATATTTATAGCAAATCATTTAAAATTAAAGCTTTAAAGGCCACCCCTAAAATTCTTTCATACTTCATTGTATATAACAAGTTTCTGAAGGATATATTCTTTAAAGAAATTTTTTCTTGGTGTTATGACCTTGCTACATCTTTATTTTCCTCCCTAATTGTTCCTTAAATTCCTTTGTTTTAATTTCTAACTATTATTATAATTTCCTTCTTATTTCCCAGCCAAATACTGTAAGCAGCTCTATCGAGATGTGACATCCACAAACCAAGGTAAACTCACCTGGAACACCATTAAGCCAATCATTCAGGGAAAGATTCTGTATTACCCCGATAATGAAATCACCAAAAATGTGGTCAAGTTTGTGAGTTACCAGAACTCAGACTAAGAAAACCTTAATTATTCTGCCTTTTTCCTACTTTTCCCCAGAGTAATGCCACCTTTGAGGAGCTAAACAATATGAAGGAACTCTCTCGTGCCGCAGCCACGATCCTAACCAAACTTCACACGAATTCCACCTTTCAGGAAGCCTTTGAAAGTCTCCTAAAGTTGGCCCGTTCGCCGCTGGTCAAGAGCCTGGTGGGCGATGATTTTGATATAGGAGAAATCGAACGAGTATTCGAATATATTCGCACGAATCAACTGATACATGATATCCTAAATACTGTGGCTGATCTCATGGATTGTGTGTCGGCGGATCGCTTTGAGGCTGTGGATACACTGGAGGCCTTGCAGAGGAGAGCCTATGAGCTGAATCAAAATAAAATGTTTCTGGCTGCTCTCAATCTGGAGGATGTGGGTCTCAAGCAGTCCTCATATCGCCTGCACATGGACACTGACAATACGCAACCGACTTTCGAGAATCGGAATCGATTCTGGTTCCCCGGACCCGCTGACAGCATGATCATGGATCTCAAATATCATCGAGGATTTGTTCAGCTGAAGCAAATGGTGGATTTGGGTATCATCAAGGCCAAGCGGGATGAGGCTGGTTTCTTGCCAGAGCCGGAGGAGGATAATGACAAGAACTCTTCAGCATTATTTAGCATCAAAACTATCAATTCCGATGACGATGATGATGATGATGAGGATGATGATGCTTTCGACGACGAAGACGACTTTTTTAATAAGGATATCAAAACAAACAAGACTTTGCCAGACCCCGAAGATGAGACCACTCTGAGACCTGAGTCAGAAGATGAAAAGGAGAGTGTGACCACCATGGAGCAGATTATGACTACAGATCAACCCAATTTAAGTGAACAACCTGATTTACTGCTGCTCAAGGATCAGGGTGTACTGAAGCGTACCAAGCGACAAGGATTCTTGGACTTATTGGGAGGTCTTGGTGGAGCTAAGGATAAGAAGGAGAAATTCCAAGTGGACGATATGCAGTTCTATACCAAACAGTTTCCTTATCCCGCCTTCCTCAATGATGTGTAAGTGTTAAGGGTAGTGCTTGGATTTTTAAGATTAACATTTTCTTTTTGCAGTTTTAAGCGTGGTTTATATTTGGCCCAAGGTGTCCAGGTGGCCTATCTCCTGGGTCTTGTCGTAGCCGTGGCTCTTTGTGTGAGGGAACGCATCTGGATGAGGGAGAGTCGTAATAGCATGGTGAGTCTTGAAAGGATTTGCAAAGGAGCTTTCTTTAATCCTTATTTATTTCCCTCCTTAAAAGCTAATGCGTTCCATGGGTCTTAAGGCTCATTCCGAGCTAGTGGCCTGGGCCTTGATGAGTTTAATGGAACTGTGCGTGATCTTTATGCTAATTAGTGCTGTTTTGTATAGTGGCGGTATCTTGGCATATACCAATTGGTTTTTCATGATGTTCTATTGTCTGACCTTTGGCATCTGTTTGATCTCATTCTGGTGAGTTCCATTCTTAATCTTTCTAAATAATAAATAAAGACTTAGTTTCTTTTTTATCTCTACCAGTTACATGTGTTCCAACTTCTTTAACTCGGCCAATATTGGAGCTGTGGCCACGGCTCTGCTGTTCTTCATCACTTTGTGTCCTTTTATCCTAGTCCTGATGTTTGATGCCAAGTTGAGTGTATTTGAGAGCTTCTTAATTGATTTATCCTTTACGACGGCCTTTGCCAAGGGCTTTGGTGAGATAATGCGTATGGAGTTGCAACAGGAGGGCCTCACCTTGAGTCATCTCTTTGCCACGGGTCCGGCCAGGAGCGAATGTGCCATGGCCTTTCTCATGTTCCTCTTGGATTTCCTTCTATATGCGATTATAGGTTTAGCCTATCAGCGGTACAAGAAGAGTGAGTGTAATCATGATATCCAACTAGATTACTTCTAAACCTAATTTAAACTTTGTTTTCCAGCTAACTATAGCTTTGTGAAGGTGGCTCGTTCCCAGTTGGATGACAAACTGGGTGCCTCCATGGCCAATGTGAACAAGTTGTATGGCAGCAAGTTGGCTGTATCCAATCTTACCCTGGATTTTCCCCGAAACCAAGTCAGCTGTCTCTTAGGACGTAATGGTGCTGGCAAGAGCACTTTAATCAAGTTGCTCACTGGTCAGATCCGGCAAAGTAGCGGCAAGGTTTTGCTAGCCGGTGAACATCAGGTGGGAGTCTGCTGGCAGGATAATATCCTTATACCCACTCTCACCGCTCGAGAGCATCTGCATCTATATGCTCAAATTAAGATGTCAGCGGAGAGAGAGGAGAATGCTGATGCAGATGAGATCCGTGCAGAGGTGGCACGCACTTTGCAGAGCCTGAACTTTGGCAAACACGAATCCTATGCCGCGTGGCAACTATCCGGTGGATACCAGAGACGCCTCTGTGTGGCCATTGCCTTTATAGCCTCACCCAGTGTGGTAATTCTGGATGAACCCTGCAATGGAGTAGATGCCAAGGCACGAAAGGATATTTGGCAGCTAATTGAACGTCTGCGACAAGGACGAGCGGTGATCTTTGCCACACACTTTCTGGATGAGGCAAAGTATCTCAGTGATTCGCTGGTTATCATGCGGAATGTAAGTTATATCTTTTATTCTATTAAGTAAATTATATTTCATTTATTTTTGTAATAATCCAGGGCAGCATTGTGGCCCAGCATAGTCGGGACTCTTTACAACAACTCTGCACTGCCACATATAGCATTAGTGTGCGTTGTGTGGATGCCACCACCTTGAGTCACATTGTTCAACAGGCCCAGCAGCTTCTGCCTCAGAGTCAGGTGCTCCATTTGGGTGCCGGTGATCATCCTCATTGTGTGACTATACAGGCCAGCTATGAGGAGCATTTGACACCCGGTGCCTTGGAGTTCCTGGAGTTGCTGCAATCGCAGGAGGTCATTGGAGCTGTTACCGATGTGGAACTGGCCAGCAGTAATAGTTTGGAGCAGGAGTTTGAGCAACTGAACAGGAAGAACGGAGGCGAGGAGGTGAGACGAGTGAGGAGCGAAGGAGTAACCACACCTGCGGAGGCTGTAACCGCACAAGAGCCACCCTCCAGTTGCATTCAGTTTGGACTCCTGATGAGCAAGAGGATTAAGCATTTGTCCCGTAACTATCGCCTGCTCCTGTATGTCCTGTTGCTACCCGCTCTCTTTGAGCTCTGCGCCATGTGGTTTGTGAGTTATCGTTTGGAGGATGACTTTGACACAGTCCTGCCCTTGAGTAGATCTCTTTACCCAAAGTCAACGCAATTCTGGTCCCAGGAGCAGGCCACACGCTTCACCGAGCAACTGCAACCCCATCTCAAGACCAGCTGTGAGGATTTGGGAGAGTGCAGGGAGTTTACCAGCTCGGAGGAGCCTTATAATTGGATCCTCAAGACCCATGAAAAGTATCGGGAGAAAAGATATGGTGGCTATAGCTTGAATGGCTCTGGAGCCACTGTTTGGTACAATAACAAAGGCTATCATGCCATGATGGCCTGGCTGAATGATCTCAACTCGGATTTGCTACGAACCACACTCAATGACTCGGAGTACAGCTTACTGACCCTCAATGAACCCTGGAAACTGGGCTTTGCCGAGCTAAGCACCAGCTCTATACTCCGGCAGGCCGGTGACTCTTGTTTTGTGTTTATTCTACTGATTGCCTTTGGCTTGGTCGTGGCTGCCGGATCCGTGTACCTGGTCAATGAGCGTGAGAATGGAGAGAAACTGCAGCAGAGGTTGTGTGGTGTCAGTGCTGTGACCTATTGGCTGGTGGCCTTTGTCTGGGATTATCTGGTCATGGTAATGGCCTTGGTTGTGTGCCTAGCTGTGGTTTTACTATTTGGAATGCCCGTATTTGTGGATCGACAGCAATTGGTGGGCATTGTGGGTCTGTCCTTAGCTTTCAGGTGAGTACTCCTGACTTTAAACTTTAAAGAAAGTATATTTTAATATTTATCTTATAGCTTCGCCTGTGTTCCCGCCGTGCATGTGGCCGAGAAACTATTCAGCGACTCGAGTATTGCCATTGTAACCATCTTTTGTGCCAATTTGATCATCCCTCTGGTCACCATGGGCATCATTCTCATCCTGGGCGTGGTGGGTGATGGTTCAGCTTGGGATAATTGGCGTCATGCTCTGAACCAGATCTTCCTCATCTTTCCGCAACATGCTCTGGGCGATGGTCTTCTGGAATTGTGCAAGAACTATATGGTGGCCCTAGTCTTCCGGCGCTATGACATTGATTCGTATAAGCATCCATTGGCCAGTGATCTCCTTGCTCGTCACTTTACGGGTCTTGTGCTCGTGGGTGTGATCTTCCTGATCCTTAATGTGCTCATTGAATGGCACTTGCTCCGCCGGCTGTGGCAGCGTGTGGAGCGATTGCTTGACTGTCACTACCGCCAGGAGCTGGATAAATTGGGTCAACTGAAGTTGGTTAATATACAGAGTATCTTCAAGAGCTGCGTGGCTGCCGGTGAGGCTGTGAGAGCGGAAAATCTTTGGCTGGCTTACAGTCGAGGCAGGTATGCGGTTCGACAGGTGCACTTTAGTGTCCAGCGTGGCGAGTGCTTTGGTTTGCTGGGCAAAAATGGAGCTGGGAAGTCCACAATATTCAAGCTGCTGACGGGTCAGTTGCAACCGAATGTGGGGCACATATACTTTGAGCAGGTGAGTCTTCTTTCTATTACTTTGATTTAATATGCTTAAAACCTCTATCTTCCCTCAGCCGGGTGTCTCCTACTGTCCGCAGAGTAATCCTCTGGATCCTTTGCTTACAGTCAGCGAATGTATACGATTCTATGGCCGCCTGCGTGGTGTTCGAGAGGTAGATCAGTTCCTGGAAAGAATGCTGGATACCTACGAGCTGCGTCCTTACAAGGAGGTGAAAGTGCGCAATCTCAGTGGCGGCAACAGGCGGAAGTTAACCGTGGCCGTCACCTGCTGTGGCACCACACCCACTGTCCTGCTGGATGAACCCACCAGTGACATGGATCCTGTAACCCGTGATTTGGTCTATGCCACCATTGAGAAACTGCTATTGGATCGTCGTGCCGTGGTGCTCACCTCACATTCTGTGTCAGAGATTGAGCATCTTTGCCAGCGGGTTGCAGTGCTCCGAAATGGTCAGGTGATTGCCAGTGATACACCCGAGAGGCTGAAGGCCGAGCATGGTGGTTACTATGCGGTGAGCTGCTTCTGTGGTCCCGCTCAACAGGCTCTGCTGGCCAGGAGTCTGGGTCAGAGACTTTCGGGTATAAGAGACCTCCAGCACTATGGACACAGTCTCCGCTTCCTGGTGAGGATTAGGGCACCGGGTAGCCCGGTTACCCCAGATCAGCCACTCCTTTCGGAGCTCTTTGTAATTCTGCGGGATCTGTGCCTGGATGTGGGACGCTTCTCACTCAGTCGTTGCCGTTTCGAGACCGTTTTCGAGAGAATCCTTGACAGCTGTGAGGCGAATGGAGCTCCGGCGAATGGAGTGAATGGAAAGCTTCATCAGGAAGTGGGACAGGATCTGCCGGCAAAATCACCTGCAGTTAGTGGCTCCCTGGAAACGGGTTACGTACACTGTGCCTACGAGGAGACGAGAACCTAAAGGAGAACAAACCTCAAAACCCTTTCCAGTTTCCAAAGAACTTTCTTCTCTTTTTTCATTTCCCGAAATTGTATATTTTGAAAATGTCAACACACGACACACGGGTTAAAGGAATATTAAGGATCTATATATATTTTTGCCTTTACATTAAGTAGTATTTGATCTTGGGTCGTTGGATTAGTTGCGAATATATCTTTAAATAGCAAATGGAGTTCGGATCAGGATTGACAGAATTTTAAAATAAGATTAGCTTTGACTTTGAGAGGAAATATTAGCTGGAATTTTTAAAAATTTATAGTTTTAGATCAGAGCTTAAATAAGATTTTATTAGAAATATGAAAGTTAACTCGACAAGCCAAAGGCTCTTGAAAATAAACCTCTTCCAAATCGAATTCCATTTTTAACATATATTTTTTTTACTATATATAATAGTTAGGCAAGTTGTTTATATGTGATAAGATCGGTTTTGGCTGCCAAGTCCAACTCCAGGGTCGATCCAGTGATATATATAAGTTCTGGGTGTTCTGTGTGTTTTTTTTTTCTTAGACAGTAAGAGTTGTAACTCCTTCCCTTCCACACCGACAAACCCCTCAATAGCTTTAATATATAATTATGTACTGTACTGTACTGTGTGTGTGTATGAAATTCAGGACCAAACCTAGCTGTAAATATATATATAATATCTGTGTATGCGCAGGCCATGATCCTTATAGGATCAGGCACAAATTTTTTATGTATATTTCAATTTGATAATAAATAAAATTAAATATGAATAGAATATTTGAATAGAAAATGAATTTCTTTTATGAAGAATGTAAAAAACTGTTTAAAAAGCATCACAAATTTAAATATTGAGAAACCTTTGCTTATTTTAAAGCTTTTACCATAAAAAATAGACTTTCCAACAAAATCAAAACCCAAATTTGATTGTTAAATAATGTGCTTAAAAAGTGCGGTGAAAGCTGCATTAAGCGACTAAATCAGCTTATTGGCCAGATGCAATTATTAAATTATAAACGACAGAGAGAGAGAGAAAAACTGAATCTCCGCCGTATTTAATTAAGCTCTTTGAAATGGCAGCCGGAAGTGAAGCAAAAAAAAAAAAAACAAAATGTGCACAGAGAGCCGGGTCAAAAGCCAAAAAGTAATTAAGCCAAAATGGTGTAACATTAACTAAAACGTGACACCACCATTCTCGTTATCAGCGCTTGGCACTTTAAAGCCTTTCAAGTATATTTTTTTTTAGGATTCCTCTTCTTTTTTTTGTTTTTACGTTTCTGCTTCTATTTCGAACAGGGAAAAGCTGAAAAGATTCGCTCTTGGCCAAAGTGCTTTTAAAAATTTGACTTTTCTTTCCCGCTTTTTTTTCCACCGCTTTCCCGGGGTGTGTAGGCGGAGGTGTGTGTGTTGTGTTCAGTAGTCTTTGCCGGTCAATTCAACACACACAAAAAGTAAGAGATTTTATAGTCGATACAGACCATGCGATACCCGGTAGGTGAAGTTTCCGGTATTAAATATGGGAAAATGTTTAAAGTAAACATTGTTATTATATTATTTAAAATTTAACATTTTAAATTTACATTTTTATGACTAGTCTTTGGCTTTTTTGTCTTTCGTATACCATAAAGAAAACATAAAATATCTGTGTATTTTAGGTATTTTTAATCAATATTTTGATGAGCTATTTTTTTTAAGTAAAGCATAGTTTTTCATATGTCATAACTAAGCTAATAATGAATAAATTTAAATTCGGATAGCTTTTCTGTGCTAGTTTTTAAAAGGGTTCAAAAATCTGTATACTTAATTTAATATTTAAACAAAATCCAATTTTTTTCCCCAATTTTTTAAATTTTAACGATGTAACACTTTTCCTTTTATTTCAAAAAATTTAACAATTTTGTTTTGCTACCTGAGATGCTCAGAAAGATTCGCCTGTTGATGCTGATCAAGAATATATATAATTTATAGGGTCGAAAACGACTCCTTCACAATTTAAGAAGCTTCTGACTTAAATTGTAAAATAATTCCTTGAGCCGATTTATATATATAATATAGTTTTAGTTAAAAGTTTGCAACGCAATGATGCCCTTATTAAGTAAGCATATTCTTATCTTATCTTATCTAAAAATATAATCAGCATCAGCAGCTCCCTCCCTCTCTCGCTCTCACTCTCTCTATCTAACTCCCACTGTGCATCTCTAGAGCTAACTGTTTCTCTGTATGTCGCCCTGCCCTACTCTTATTCTCTCGCTCTCTTTCTCTGTTCTCTTGCCTCGGGAAGTATAAATAGGGGCGCTTCGATCGCAGCGAGCTCAGTCTGTCCTAGGGGTACCTAGTGTTTACATCGTGAAAGTGATAGTGATTGTGATCTACCTTCGGCCTCAAATATGTCACGTGGCCAATTTAATATGCTAATGGATAATTCTATAATTACCCTAATTAAAGATGGAAGGAAGTAAACAATGACGTGTCCTCCACTGTGGTAAGTCTTAATCATGACAATTATAGCTTATACAGATTATATTATTATATCATATAGATATTATATTATTTTATCGTATACATATTATATTATTATATCAAAACACATATATATACATGCTATAGGAGGTATCAGGCCTTCATCTATATACAGCTTTGCTAGCTTAGCATTTATTTACCAATTAAATCCCTTAGTGCCATAATACGCATTGCTAAATTATAATTTAAAGTGATTTAGCAATTTGTGTTGATGATATCTACAAACGTATTCTGAAGTTACACAACCCTAACTTATTTTTAAATTGTTATCGAATATTGAATATATATATGTATATATATATATTTTTACGACCTAACCCCTTTCCTTTTATTTCAAAAAAGTTTCTGACTTAAATTGTAATATCATTCTTTGAACCGATTTATATATATATATATATAATCTAGTTTTAGTTAAAAGCTTGCTACGCAATTATGCCCTTATTAAGTAAGCATATTCTTATCTTATCTTATCTAAAAATAGAATCAGCATAAGCAGCACCCTCCCCCTTTCGCTCTTACTCTCTCTATCTAACTCCCACTGTTCATCTCTAGAGCTAACTGTTTCTCTGTATGTCGCTCTGCCCTACTCTTATTCTCTCGCTCTCTTTCTCTGTTCTCTTGCCTCGGGAAGTATAAATAGAGGCACTTCGATCGCCGCGACCTCAGTCTGTCCTAGGGGTACCTAGCGTTTACATCGTGATAGTGTTTGTGAAACTTTTTAGCCTTCGACCTGAAAAGAATGACGTGGCCATTGGAATTGGAATGCAACTGAATAAACAGGAAGCAATATTCGATACTATAATTATCCTAATTAAGGAAGGAAGGAAGTAAACAATGACGTGTCCTCTACTGGGGTAAGTCTTAATTATGACAATTATATCTTATACACATTATATTATATCATATAGATATTATATTATTATAACATATACATATTATGTTATTATATCATATACACATATACATACATGCTATAGGAGCTATCAACCCTTGATCTAGATAAAGCTCTGCTAGCTATGAATTTATTTTTTAATTAAATCCCTTAGTGCCATAATACCCATTGATTAATTATGATTTAAAGTTATACAGCAATTTAAATTGACGATATCCACAAACCTATTCTGAAGTTACACAGCCTAACTTATTTATAAATTGTTATCGAATATTAAATTCTTACAATTTTGATAGTTTTACAATTGACTCAGACTTTGGTGCTAATTTTTGATACATTATTAAACTCTTGCAGGGTATTATAATTTCAGTCAGTAGTTTGCAATGCAGTAAAGGAGTCATCTCCGACCATATAAAGTATATATATTCTTGATCTGTCCGTCCGCCTATACGTCTGTCTGTCCGTTCGTCCATCTGTCCGTCTGTCCGCCTGTCTGTCCGCCTGTTCGTCCGTTTGTCCGTTATTTATTTAGGTTATTTTATCAATGTTCATAGCATTTCTCACTTGTTCTTAAGGCAGCTATACGATATAGTTGTCTAGGCCGATTCTTTCCGTCTGTGTTAAAATAAAAATAAATGTATTTGGATGTATTTTTTTTATTTATTTACAAAAAATCACAAGCTGCTCTCTTAAACTTACACTTTAACTAAGATTTTTATATTTTTAAATTATTTTAAACATTAATTTGTGTATTTTTATATAACCTATAAGGTCGAAAATCCCTTCTCCTCCTGTACATATACATATGTACATTCTCGGTTGGCTTTAATTCATAATACCCTTTCTACCCCTTTGGGCACAAGGATATAAAAAATGCAGCTCTTTTTTTTGCGAAAGGATTAAATTAAATTCCATTTGGTTTGATGCTGAAAACTTAACGAACGCAGGTAAAAATTAAATCAGCGAAAAATCAACATAATTAAAAGAGTTTCGTACGCATTCGCCGTGCTTTTATTTGCCCATTTCACACATTCGCTCGCTTTTCCATTTGCCCGCTTTTCCATTTTACCCATTTTCCGTTTTTCCCCATTTTCTAGAAAACGAACCAATGCATAGCCAAATTTAAAAAAATAAAAGAGTCCTGTGTGCGTTGAAAAGGCTTTGTGTTGTTTTTTTTTGGGTTTCCACCTTTGGAAAATCCATTTAAAGACAACCAACGGTTGCATATTTTTTCGGCTTAAAAAGCCAACGGAAAGCTCATTTAGACGCATAATAAACGGCCAAAAAGGTGATGTTAAAATAAAGCATTACAGCTGCATAATTCATGCATTCGTATTAAATGCGTTATTTCCCCCATTTCATGTTTATTCAATTATGCCATTATTAAGTGGAGCATTAAAAAAAAGTGAGGGAACCAATTTAATTGCGGCCCCTAATAAAAATGCTAATAAATTAATATAAAATTATTTGTTTGTCTTTCCGTTTTAATTATGCACAGACACCGGATATGCAAATGGCGAACAAAATCTGGCAGTCTCTGTATATAATATATATAGGATTTTATCCACTTATATAAAAGGGTTTAAGT